TTTTTCATTTTAAATTATATGAGGAGGAGGCACTTAATGCAGTGAGATGATGCATATATATTGGGAGCACCATAACCAGAGGCATTTGGCAGTTTGAAGGCAGACTGAAACTACAGTTGTTTTGGGAGAGAATTTGATTGCAGCAGCTTTCGACAGTGGAATGATTTCAGGACTTAGGAAATCAACAAATGGAATAATGAAATATCAGGATAACGAGTAGTGGTAACAAAAAAATTGGGATGACAGAGGTCATTGCTTTTCTAGTCCTGGGCTGAACTCTGCAGAAGTGACTGCAGGAAGAGCCCTTCAGCAAGAAACACAAAGGACAGTAACTACTGTGGCCCCCACGATTGATACCAGCCCAGTATTGATAAGAAGCAGTGATCTGGGCTGTTTCATGGGGATTTTGATGCTTTTATAGATGTATAGCTGTGCTGGGTCTTAAGGGTAGAGGTTGATTGATGTATTTATCCCAACAAACACATTGGGAACCCAAGGGCCTCTATGAAGCCTGTAACTGGGTTAATTGAAAGAGAGAATTAAGAATGGCGTATTCTCCACAGTTTACAGAACCACGAGGTTGGGGTGCAGAGTTCAGCCTTTGTAACAAGAAGCTTGTGCACAGGTGTTTTCTTCTGCATTATGTGCATGATGGCGCTTCTTAGGGCCAACATGAGTTTTCACAATGTCCTTCTACCTTCTTAGCTTTGCAGCTAGGGCTGCATTTGCAAAATCCTTACAAAACTAGTTACTGAAGATACTAGGGCATTATTAGAGGATATTAACAAATATCCTCTATGCACCAGAAGACTTTTCTTACTGCTTTCTTGCTTTCTGCTGACATTTCCTCTAACTGCTGAACGCATTCGTATTTTTTTAAACTGCTGTCATCCCTCCTCGTAGCGTGGGTTTGAACCTCCAATTCCAGTTTGGATGGTGATCGCATTGCAGTGGCAGTGTTTAATTCTGCTTTATGCTTGTTTGAACAAAGCCACAAAAAGCAGCCACCAGGCAAGAGAGGTAAAAACAAGTTATACAAGGCTTCACAGGTGGCTCTGCAAGTCCAACCAGGTTAGCTCCCCCCAAACTGGCGGTTGTTTCCAGATTGGTGGTATTCCCCTTTCCAAAACCCCTTCCCTCAACACAGGTCAGAGTGGTTCTTCCACATTTCAGCTAAACCCAGTCCTTTCTTCTTCAGTCAACCACCTGGATTAGGTACCAGCATTCACCCCTGCTCTAAGACAGCAGAACCCAGAGCAAACAATCCTGCTAGAAGATCTACTAAGGGAGGGTACGTTTATTCGAAATATATTTTCAAAGCGGTAACATGTATGACATTACTACTTCATATTATCAATCACATGGCAGGTTTCCCAGTCAGAACTCACATAACCATGCTCTTCTGCTTTCCTGTGCATCTGCCTGATTGTGTTTCAAGGAAAACTCTGACATTTAGGGATGCAGTAGAGTCCCCATCACTGGAGGTTTTCAAGATGCAGTTGGACAGGGTGCTCGATAATCTCATCTAGGTTTCCTTTCCCTCAGAAAGTTGGACCAGATAATCCTTCAAGGTCCCTTCCAACCTGGGCTGTTCTATGATTCATGTTCATGGTCATAGTGGCAAGATATTAAAATTGACCCATTGTATCCTGAAAGTTGTAGAAAAGCTACTGAATATATGCTGTCTTGGTGGAATTTCGTTACTTGGTCTCAAGTTCTACAGACTTGGGAGTACCTAAGTACAAGCCACCATTTGCCCAACAGCTTTATTTCCACACTCCCGTATTTAATTTTCATTTGGGACTTGCATTAATATGGCTGCATGCTTGGGAGCACCACAGGGTTCCATATAGTCTGAGTGAATTCATGTACCTGCTCTTATTTACACATTGCAACAGGCCCATAATTGTGAGAGCTGCACCCCACCCCCCAACAGAAGCAGTATTTAAATTGAAAGTTATTATCCAGTTATGGCAATAGCCAGAAGCAGAGTCTGTAATGTACCTACAAAGCCTTAGGTGAATAAACTTTCTGTAAAACAGGTTAATTCCTGCTTGACTTGCTGCAATTTAAGATGCTGGATAATGAAATATAAAAAAGGCTGAGGGGGAACGAAAGCACTGTTGGGGGAAACAAAAGGAAAACAAATCCTACTTACAGATCTGAGATGCCCAATCCTAAGATTTTAATGTGAATATCAATCTATAACACACTTATCCAGTGCCCAGATCAGGTTCTGTAAAGTGCCAACAGTATTTCAAGATTTTTCAGCCTTTTATTATAAAAAAGTTGGTCTTCTGAACATCAGCTAGTCCTTAATACCCAAGAGAGGTAGTATATCGCCTTCATTTTTTATACCACTTCATTTCATCGTCCCAGGGAACTGTGGTTTACATCTGCAATTATGTACCACTCAACAGCAGCATGGACAGACCCACCATGATCTATATAGTTGTAACAGCAAAATAGAAATATAAAAAAGAACTGAATATTAGTGACTCTGATACCAGTATACTGCCACACTCAGGATCGCTCTTGCCTAAGTGAGACCTGGCTAAAGATTTCTCATACGCAATTATGTCATAATCATACTCTTACTTAAACTTCTAACACATCTAAAAATCACACCAAGAATGAAGACCAATGCTTCACAACTGTAACCTCTTCCAATTAAAAAAATATTGCATGTATCCTCTTGGTGCTGTGGAAATATGAAAGGAAAATCAGTGACAGAGTTATCTCATACACTAACAGTACTGATGGCTCTGAAGCAAAACAAGTATTCGAGTGTTTAAAGAATGGAGTTAATTTCCTTACTGCAGTGACCTATTTTGCACCTTCGAATCTATCAATTTCCTTGGTCTTCTCCCAGCTCCTCCTCTTTTTATCACTTTCCCTTTTACTTCCCACATCTTCTGTCTCTCTAAGTAGCACATGAACAGGCGGTATCCCTGTCTGCTCCGTTCTGAGCTCAGGAACTGCTCTCAGTGACACACACCAGTTTACAGGCAGTTTGTCACATTCTGCAACTTCTTCCCTGTATCCCCTACCCCCCACCCCCCCGCCAAAGCTAACAGTTTTACAGCTACTAAATAGTTAAATGTAACAATATTTGCATAAGCTGTACTCCACTCAATATAATATACCCAGAGTTAACACTGTCCTTTTCAGAGTTCAAGAGTGCTCAGATTTTCCAAATACTGGAGATTTGCGAGTGGGAATTTCAAAAGCAACTCAGTGTCATCACTAAGACATGACAAATAAAAAATTCTGAGTAATGGCCTTTGAAGGTCTTACTGGCAGGAGTTCATTTAGATCACATTCATTCATATGATAACAGACCAAAGGATTTCATGCTGCTATGAATTCAAAATCACAGGCACGTTCTCACTATGGCAAGCTATTTTTCAAATGAGACCCTTATTAAATAGTGAAAAGCTGACCATGTCCACTTCAGTGTTTGAAAGTATACTTTGTTTCAGGAAACCAAAGAATATAAAAATAAGCCATTTAATTGAAAGAAAAAGTATCTTACAAAAAGTGTGTCTTTCTTAATTCTAGAAATCACAACAGTATTAATAAAATCTTAAAAGACAACTAATACAGTGTTTATTTAGAAGCAGCATAAATCCAATCAATGCATAAAAATCTCAAGTGTTTATTGTAACAGTTTAAGTGCATATATTCCTTTTACAATTTTGTGCCTTTCCACGGGAACAGACATACAGCAGCCATTACAATTTGTTCTTTTCAGAAAGCTTTTACTAGTTTGAAATCCCATCTGTATAATTGAATAATACAGTGAACTAGTTCCAGTGATAAATTCCAGATTTATATAGACTAGATTTCAAAGGAGTAAACTCAACATGGAAGGTGTTAAAAATTTTTAATATTCCTGTAAAAGGTGACATAATACACAATTCAAGTGAATTTACACAGGCAACATACACAAGACATCGGTAAAAATATCAGATGTTTAATACAAAATACTCACCTATCTCCAAAGATAAAAAGCTTTTTATAAGTTAACAGTATGGGCCCTACCTTCTGAATGTCAACAGTGACAGATTATTATGAGGGTATCTCTAAAGTTTAAATACAATCTGTGCTGGCTAAATTACTTTCACCTTTTTTATAAATTAATGATGGAAGATAGAATCACCTAACATAGAGGCCTGAGCACCAAAAGGTAAATTCCAGTTTTGAAATGGTTTATAAGTGAGACTTTCCCCATTCACTATGAGGAGAACCCTCTGTAGCTTCTTTGGTTCAGGCCATCATCTCTGAATAGCAACCCCAAACAAAATCGAAACACTTTCACTGCTGAGAAAGAACCAAAGAGTATAGTTTGGTCAGAATGCTAACATTATGGAACAATTCCACGCTTATGGAAAAAATGTTCTATTTCTAAAAAGATGAATGTGAATTCACAACTGTAAACTTTAATTTTAAATAATTTAATAAGTACCGCAGTATTGACAATCTTCATAAATATCATTAGTTTGGAAATAAAGATGTCAAAAAAGCACAGACAAATTTATTACTCTTACGGGAAAAACTAGTGAGTTTTTATTTTAAATTTAGTCTTTTGCTTCAAACATTATGTAGTGGCATCACTTTTACCAATCCTATTCTCAGGGAAGTGGAGATAGTATCAGGATACAGAACAGGCAACAAGACTGACTTTCTCTCTTCCCCCCTCCCCCAAAAAAAAAAATTTCCATAAAACCTTATGTACTGTAGATTGTGGGAAATACCAGAATTTACCCATTTCACCCATGTTACCACTGCCTACATAAAGTTTCAGAGTACTTTGTGACTGGCTTGGACAATAGCCACAATGCTCCATCGCACTGATAGATGTAGATTAGACTTCTATTTCCAGCTTCTTGCCCTTCCAGATGCTGGGGACTGGAGAGAACATAGACGCCCACCCTTCAGCTCCATGAGGATTAATGAAGTGCTTCATCTCACTTGGCAATGATCTACATCCATTTAAAGAGCAGCAAGAGCATATTGACAAAACCCCTTCCTCGCCCTGACAGATGCCAATTGCTATATGAAGCTTACAGCCTTAATAAGTTGAGATGGAAGGTCCTTTGACCCTCTGAAAGTTTCAGATCGCTCTCTTCAAGAGAGTTCAAAGAGAACTCTTCAGAGTCTTTGAGTAAGACTGAACATAAATGAATCACATGCAGAAAACCCTAAACCATTTCAACCCCTGGGCCAGAAACACCACGCCACGCCTGGAAGCACCAAAGCAATGATTATAGAAGAAAAAAGATTTACTGTGTTGTTGTCCAATATAGGTTTTCCAGATATGTGCTTGGAGTCTTTTGTTTGGTGGTTGACAACCATGCCAATATTCTGGTCAAAACCTGGGAAAAGATAAAAAACTTCATTTTATAAAGCCAAGTAAGCAGAAAAGAAACTTAGTAACCAAGTGTATGCAACTTCCTAAATTTAGTTTACCGTTATGTTGTTAAACCCATGTAAGAAAAGTCACCACAGACTAAACTAAATTACAGTTAGTTTAATCTGGTAGCTTCAAAGAATGGGATATAAATGCAATACTTTATGTTAGAAGTTACTTCTTTTGAAAAGTTACACTTCTGTCAAGTCTACTTCTCTCTTTACGTAGTTCCATAGCCAAGAAAGGAATGAAACACAAGCTAAATCAGGAGAGGAAAAAGCTATTCCAAGAGCCATTCCAAGTCAAAGGACGCTGTTTTGAACAGAACAGAAACAACTGATTAGCAACATGTATTTCCTGTCAAGAAGATGTATTTGTTTTCAAAGGAAAATTATGGAAATAGCATTATTACTTGATCTGACAGAAAACAAGCTCCCTACAGAGGCTGAATTTAACATTTCTATTTACACAGCAGTTTTATACTACCAGCAGCTGGATTTTTTCCCTATTACTTAAGCCTTTTCTTGCTCTGCCTCTGTATTAGCAGTACTCTAGCACTGCGCTTCATTAGCTGCTACTGTACACACACCATTATCCTCTGTTTTTTCCAGCTGCATTATTTTATATGCTGATAAAAGCATAAAATTCTAGCATGCTTGATTTTAATGCCAACTCACTATAGTGAAGTATTAACTGGGTACGTGCATATGCACACATTTAAGGTTGACACAAAGAAACATTCCAAAACAAATCAGTACATTTTATATTAACATTATTTTTCTCTGTATATTTGAATATCTGCTAATACCCACAACATGGAAATTCCATTTTAAGCTGCTGGTTTATTACAAAATTTTCAGCGCCTCAGACACAACTTAAACCCATACCACAAACCTGCTTGGCAGCTATATAGCTGGTATTACAGTTACCTTTGAATCATACATTTAAACCTAGCTTTGGGTAATGCAAAAGAGCTACAGAAAAATCAAGCTTCAAAGCCTGATAGTTTAACTCTTAACAACCAAATCTAGGAAAATTACCAACAGGAAAAACACTGACAGAAGGGATTAGCAGTGGTAGCATAATGTTTTCAAAAAATGACACAATTCTTTATTACCACTGCCATTATTTATTTATTGTTTTTCAAGATGCTGCAGAGAGATTAGAGTATTTCTTATGAAACCACATTGAATAGGGATTGGAAAAGTGGGTTAAAGTAAGGAGGGACACAAAACCTAACAGTGTGCACCACATGAGCAGCACTATTTCACCTATATCTATATACACACCATAGCATGTATGTGTATATAGTATACATACTCCAGCAGTGCTTATGTATTTGTAAAAGAAATTGTGGAACCTGCATACTGTCCCTGCTGCAGCTAGCAAAGTAAGTTGCTGAGCATGGAAAAATATCTGAAGTGAAGAAGAAATAGATGCTGATAAATGCAGGCATGCATTAGCTAGGTTTACCACATTCTCTTAATCCACCTCTCTCATTAGGAGCATGAACCATTGTCTGAGTGCTTAAGCGTTTCCTCTTTAATACAGAAATATCTAAAAATTCCTCAAATGGTTAAGCACGCCATTGTATTTTGGACTTTCCTGGAACTACAAGGAATAGAGCATAAAAACTGCTGGAAAGCCAAACCCACAGCATCAACAACAGTTTGCAGTTCTCACTGTGATGGCAGATTTAAAGGACTTGTATCTCTCAGGCAGCTCATCTGCACATTCAAACCTCGACTTCCAACAAGTAAGTATACTGACAGCGAAATCTGGAAACTTAAGTTCTCTCTGTAAATCAGCTGTTAAACAGAATAGTGTCAGATATGGTCTTTAAACAATTTTTAAACATAGGGTAAGTATACAGTTTAGCCTAAAGGCTGTTTGTAGTGTTTATTCATAGACAATGATCCTTAAGGGCAATGAGTAAATAAATACTGAAATCATTTAGAATCAGCCAGCCAACAATTTTTTAAAAAATGGACATGGTATCCTTTTTTTTTTAAAGTCACAGCTAATTTGTGATAAGCTTAACTTATAGGAAACAGTTCTCTATTAAGCGATGAAAAAAACAGAACATAAAATATTGTGCACATTTTCCTGGAGCTTTTCTTACTTAATTCTTGAAGCTGAGACTATTGCTAAGTCCGCAGAGTTAGAAATGGAGCTTCTGCAGTGACAACTTAATATGAGTGAATGGATAAAATTAAGCTGACATTTTCTCTTATAAAATGTTACCATAATTAGATATATAGAAAAGGAGAGGGCAGCAGTTGCTTTTTCCAAGGCAACATGTTGGAGATCTCTGGTCTCTTTCAGTCATCAACAAGACAGTAACATAAGATAAACAAACCAAAAAGTGGAAAAGGACCAACTGCCCTTACTCTGGTTCTCATTATCATGTCCATCACTTTGGTTCCCTTTGTCCTTTGTGTTGCTAATTCTGTATTTTTTCCATTTATAAATCACGTCCTCAGCCCTTCTGGAAATTCAAGTCCATTTTTAGGTTACATTAAGAGAGGGTTAAAAAAAAAAAAAAAAAAAAGAAAAAAAGAGAATAATCTTACCGCTGTATTGCATCGTAGCTCCCAAATATGAATCGACAATTGATCCCAGTAAGCCAGCTGCTGCACCAAACACAATAATGGGCCATTGCGGAGCAGATATTTCCAGATCAGTCACGAAAATGAGTTGTGTTATGAAGTAGGCTATACCTACTGCCATGCCCCCAAGCAAACTTGAGAGCAGGCCCACTAAAGTAATTGCTCCATTAGTACCTAAATCAAACAAAACCAAGCTGATTTACTAACTTTTTCTTAAAGACTTATATTTGTTCAAGTGTTTTATATGAAATCAAAACTGTGTCCATAGTGATCTTCCCCCCCTTATATCCACAAGGCTCTGCTACCGCAGCTTTTATTTATAATTCCCATTATGCTGCTGAGAAGCTTAACCTGTACCATTACAGCCTATTACCATTACTTTTCCTTTCTTTAAGGCCAGTTATCTAGACATACTCACTAGCATAAAATTAAATAAAACCAGATAGCACACCTTGCAATGTCACTGGGTATTTGTGTGCTGTAAGGGCGGGGAGGGGACAAAAAGATATTTGCTCCACAAATAGGGAGCTTGAGATGTGCATGTTATTAAAACAATGCCTCTTTCAGAAGAGGTATAGCAAGATATATTTCACCAACAAATTTAAAAGAAGGAACAAAATCCACAGAAAGGAAGATGTTTCACAGCTCACTGAATAAATATCTGAAGAACACTTCAAAAAAAAAATGCCCACGTATTTAAAACCTATCCCACCAGATCTAAAACTCAGATCAATATGCCAGCAAAAAAGATATGACTCAAAAAAGACATGCTGCTTTAAGGTAGCAATGTCATCCACTGCGCAGACAAGGTTTCACAGACTGAAGGTTCACTTTACCCACCCTTGGTAAGATGTTAAAGGAAATGAGAGATTTGGTTAAGGAGTGAATTTTCTGTAGTGTCTGTATTGAACATATATATATTATTCTACTGATTAAAATTTTAACGTCTGAAAAATTCAGATGATAACTTGTATTCTTTATATTATCCGCAGTATAAACACTTCTAATAGTACCAGAGATGAGAAGTGACAGCATTCACTAAGAATGACTTTAGCTCCCTGGATGCTATGTTAGTGCATCTTACCAACGAGATGCAGCAGGAACACAACTGAGTAAATTCCATTTCAGAGAACGCATTCCAGCTAGAATTTTCTAATCTCAGATTTCTGATGTTTGTTTTTCTGGGACTGTCTTTGAACTTTTCAAGGTGGATGCACAATTCAAAACAGATAAGCAAAATATTAAGACAAGAACATGTAGAACAGGTAACACCTCACCTACTGGAACCTTTTTCCAGGTTGTTATCAACCTTGGCTTGCTTTTACTCATAACAGTACCGATCTCTGAAGCCCATGTATCACCAGCAGAGCATGCCAAAGCTCCCAAAAGGGATAAGCACATCCATGATGCTGTGTATTGCTTTGAAAAGTCTATCGGAATTTCACCTGGTCCATTTTCTATCATATATAAGACAGCCAGCTCAGTAGGAACACCACCGTTACAGAATACTTGCACCCAATTCCTCTGTCCACCTAAAGTGACAAAAAATAAATTTTAGCATTTTCAGGCAAAACACTTTGACAGGCAAGAGCATGAGACAAAAGCAAAATACACATATATAAAGTTAAATTTTAAAAGACACACTTTCAAATCAGAAACTAGATAGCAATTTATTAAGTAGAACAGAAGGAAAAGCAAAGTCGCTTGCTAATGTTCATAGGGTTAAGGGTGGAGAGAAGGCAGGACGCGAGTGTTCCCTACTCTGGATGTTTACATCTCATCTGACCCTTTGAAAGGAAGAGGAATATGCAGTATTTATTCTCCACAGGGATCTGAAAGAATTGAAATGTTATGGCTTACCTTCTTTGTATTCTGAATCTATTTGCTTCTTTGTATCTTTTTTCCATTTAGTAAGTTTTGAAGAAGTAACAAAAAAAACAAACAAAGACGTGAAGAAACTGTAATTTGCAACTGAAAGGATAAATCCAACCACCAATCCTATGAAGGAAAAAAAAGTATATTAGTTCCTTCATGTAACAATGTCTGCTTTGCAAAGCAATTAAGTATCTTCAATCTCTTGAATATGAAGAGTATTTTCATGATAAACTTCATGACAATCATACAATAAAAGAATTACTGAAGCGCCTAATACCTCTATGAGAATTCCAGTGACATCTTGACTGTAAAAAAAAAAAAACAGTTATCTTCATAATTTTCTCTTAAATTTTACTGCCAAGTTGCTAATTTTATTGCTACTGTTAAAGTGTGTAATTTTTTAAGACCTTTTCTTGCCACAAATCAGTAGTACTGTGCAAAAATAAAAGACGGAGCAATAAAAAAAAAAAGCCAAAGGATATCTAACCGAAATTTAAGTACCCTGCCTGAGGAATATGATTATTTATATAAGAAGCATATATACAGCTGTGGCTGTGTCTCCATCAGCAAGTTTATATTCAGTTCGGGAATCAAATTCCTCCCCCAAGGTCTCTTAAGATAAGATATGGAGGAGGGTTATCCAGGTTAACAGCTGCTACTTCTCCCTTCTGTTCCTCATTTTCTTTTGCTGTTTCTGATTTTTATGTCATCTTTTTCTTTCTGTAATTTTCTTAAATATTTGAGCTCCTGGATGTGCTTTTTTGTTTTCCTCCTTCTCCACAGGGAAGGTCCAATTCTCACTGTCCACCATGAGATTACAATTCTTTGCGACTGAAGGAAAACTGGCCACACTTAATGTAAATGCCAATATAAGCTGGCTAGCAGAGTTGTTATGGTAAGAGGTAAAAACATAGCAGAAGAGAAAAGATGTTTTTTTTTAATTTAGAAAATGCTCCTCTTAACTCACAGGCAGAACAAGATTTGCAAAATGGGTGACATGGAAGGAAAGGATTTGAGGTCCTGTTTCTTTCCATTGACCATCAATTCAGACAATGTCACAAGACAAGGGTGAATCACCTCACACGGAAATCTTTCATCAGATTCCAACGAACACTGTTGCACACTACATTGGGGTTTTTCTCACGTGGTCAAGAAAAACCTCTGTTGCAACAGTCATTTGATTGAAGTGAAGTACAGATTTAATTTTCTTCTCATTTTTGGGAGGCAAAAAATGCCTAAAACTGCTCATATCACAGAAAGGAGAACCAGGTTTCCTACCAGGCAGGTAGGCTGCTGACGTGGCTCAGTTTTACGGTATTTCTTTACCACTGCCTCTGCCATTTCATTATCTCTATGTGAATCCATCTATATGTTAATCAAAAACATGTGATTTAACTGCATGCTGTACTGAAGTTTAAAACAATCTTATAGGTTTATATGAATCTAATGACAATATTAATCAAATGAATTACAAACAGCAGCGAAAATTAACTTGATTATTTAAAGAGGCATGAGAAAAAACCCAGTATGAATTCAAGGTATATATGCTTGTATTTATACTTTTGTTGTAATAGAACTAGATAGGAAAGTCTTAAAAGAATATTGTGTACAATAAAAAGGACCTTAATTTAGTTTAAATGTTTAGCTGAATAGTTTCAGGAAAAACATACCTCCCAATGCACCACTGTGATCAAGACTCTTCTTCTTAAATGCCTGTGTTGCAATCATTAGTGGAACCAAGACTGAGAAAAGCCAGCGCCATGGAGAAATGGGTCGTAAAGTACCTGATAAATCAAAGTGGTTATAGGTGATCCTTATAAGCATTTTTAATGCCTTTATATCTAAGAAGTAATTACCATCCAGTATATATTTAAAATCTGATCTTAATAGAGATTAAACATTTTACCCCTTAGAAGAAATACATTCATATGAATGGAAGACCAAAATAACTGCAATTATCTACTCAATTTTTCTGTTCAGCTTTCACAGAGAAAAGAAAATACATTAAAGTAACTAAAATTAATTACAAAGAAATAGCAAATGTGTCAAGAAATAAACATGGTGATATTTTCCATTCTAAAAGGGATTTATAAACTCCAAAAATTAACATTCAAAATGTTAAGACCCGCTGAAACTTGATTTAGATAGAACAGATAAGTTCAGATTTTAGAAAAAAACCCCAATCCATACATCCACAGTAAGTTATGTAGAATTCAGGTTCAAATATGAATAAGATTCAAACTAAAATTCCAGTTAACAAAACATGTAAAGAGACTGCAACGCAACTTCAAGTAAATAAATCAGTGCAAGAGCTCCCCTCACAGATCATGTTATGACTGATTCTCTGGTAACTACGGTAAGAAATCTGAATTTTTTATTATTATTATGATTCTTTTTTTGATGAATTTTCAGAAAATATGGCAGTAATAAAGGAAATGAAAAACACTGTCTATGGTCACCGATGCTTTTCAGCATTTTAATGGAGGGAAAATAAGAACAATATATTGGAAGCTTTACCTTGTTTTTCAAGCCATCCCAAATACCAATGTTTTTAGGAAAAGTCATTCTTGTTTATCAAAAGCTTTAGCTTGGTAGCCTTTGGCTATGAAAAGCAGGCAACTTTTTTCATCATCTATGTATTCTGAATTATACCTAGGATGTGCCTAATGTTGTCACTTTGTTGTCTATGCCATCAACTGGAATTTTACACTACTGTAATAGAAGGACTGTTGCTATTTGGCTGACAGAAGATTTCAGAAGTAGTTTCATGTCTATGTGGAGAGAAGACGTCAGCATGCATATAAGCTAGCTAATGGCTGTGTTTCTATAGCTTTAATATTACTACCATGTTCTTTTCATTCTAGTTTGGAAAACTCACATATTCTGTAAGATATTTAAGTGCTTAGTTGAGCTACAGTGATACTTGATGTCATCCAATAAAACTAGCAGGAAGTCCTGCAGTTCATATATACATTTATTTTGTACACTCATTCTGTCCCTCTGCTGGTCTGTGAACAAATAATCAGTTTAATCACAGCATCACTGATAATTTAGACTGATGCTAGAAAGGAAGTTTAGATGCTTGGCCTTCTTCTACAGTTTTAAAAAAAGAAATATTCCTCCTTTTTTGGCATCCAAAACGTTCTGATTTTTTCCACACTGTATTTAGTTGAAAACACGAGAACTTCCAAACTGGATCAAGCCAAACATCTGTCTGACTCAGAATCGCATCTGGCAGGGGTGAGCTGCACATGTGCAAGGAAAGAGTACAAGGAACAGATACAGACCGATCTTCCCTGTTCTATTGGCAACTTTTATACTGGCATTTCTAAAATCCCCCATGTATTTGTCCCATCCATTTTTAAAAACAGTTATAATTTTCATCTCCACAACCACTCAGTGAACTGAATTCTGGTTTTAGATGCACTGAAAAAGGCCTTTCAAAAAGCCGAACCACAAAGATCCCGCTGCCTCAAGTTTCACTGGACATCTGCTAAATTTTATGACCAACTGAATAATGGTTTCCTATTCACATTATTCCTGCCATTCGTGACCTATATAGATGTCCCCTTTCCATGCTGAAATATCTTTACCTACTTAAGTCCTCTTCAAATGGATGCTGTTACCTGCTCTGATCATCCTTGCTGCCTTCACTGTTCCTTTCTAATTCCGCTATGGGCATTTTGAAATGGCATGACCGCAAATGCATACAGTACTCATAGCAGAGAGACATCAAGATTTTACAATTTCCAACCATCCATTGAGTTTTTGGCTGAGTGAAAGGTGTTTCATTTCCAAAAAGAGATGAGAATATATTAAGTAACCTGGATGGTGTAATTCCCCTCCCCCGATTACCTGCTTGTATTGAACCAGGCTATTTATCTCCTCAGTCATGCAGTATATTACTTACACACAGCTGTGGTGTAAAACATGTGTTTGCCCTGCTGCTCCCTATTCTTCTCATCATCTTTTCTTGCATTACTATCTGATCACCTTTACCCCTGGCAACCACACTCTTGGGTCCTTCTCTCCACCACAGCAGCGTATCTCAGGGAGAATTTATATCTCTTAGGACCTGAGAACACATCCATTATCTTTACAATGGATGTTCTTATGACTTTATTAACCCTAAATTTTTCACCAAAAGGTCTTGTCCTAGAAATATGCAAAGGAAACTAGGAACTCCTAAAAAATTAAACTTATTTCAGCAAGCCACGAGGTTCCCAAAATCATGATTTTTAATGAAGAACAATACACACTGTAACTTTTGTATTTAAGGAAAGGTAGCCGCATGACATACACGTCCGGTGTTATATAGGCTGGTTTCCACCTGAATATCTACGCTCAAGCAAGCCTGAAGTTATCTACTGCAGTCCTCCTTGTCCTGTCTGTTTCTCTAATCTACAGAAAATTTGGCTTAGCTTATAATCACAGATGATTTAGACTTCTTATTCTTTGCTTTGCGTAGTCCCTCTCCACTGCACACGCATGCACAGCCTCTTCCCAACCTGGCGGCAGTATCAACAACTAACCACACACTTTGGTCTGGAGCGCTGCAGAGACTTGTTGAAAAGCAAGCTACATCCAACAATTTCATGTCTTGTAATACATATTTACTCTCAGAAATTTCTTCTTCTCTGAGGGTTCTCTAGACTAATTCTTTTGCACTTCCACATTCCACTGTCCTCCCTGCTATTTTTCCTCAATTCTATCTAGAACAGCACAATCAAACAGATTTAATGACAAGAGAATTTCTTTTCGCTTGCACAACATGTTAGCATGAGAAATTATTTTCTTTGTGGCTTGGTATATTCAGCATAGACTGAAAACAGCTATTTAAGCTAGGAGATACCCTTCTTTTTCTATGAAGTAATGCGCCCTACACAGTGGGGGAATCCTTTTCACTGAATTTTGCTCTCTGACAGCAGCTGCAACCGAACTGCCACATTACTCAAGTCCTGCCTTGTGATTTCACATGAGTATGGATTTTAGGTTTATGTATTTGCTAAGTGAACAGTACATGTGAATTTAGGGGTGGCAAAATTAACAAGACAGCTCTGAGCTTCCTCTTTACTTTGTTTACTAGTCAACATAATTTAATCAAACTGAGCTTCCTGTGTTACAGCTATTCAAATATTTGATTGTAGGTTATCGGTTCTCTCACAGAGCTAACAATTGCAATACATCGCATGGTTTAAATCTATTGATTCCTTGCTTTCATATGAAAGCAACTCTACATAATCAAAGCTTCTGTATTTGGAAAGTATACTGCTTTTTGGGAACTGAAGAGAAATAAATTATTTCAGGTCTAGTGTTAACATCCATGCAAAAATGGCGCACCTGTTATCTTCCTTGTTACACAGAAAATAAACCCAACTTGGAATGTTTTAAGTATTTAACTGGAAATTAGTCAAACCGAAAACTTTTTACAAGAAAGGATTGCTTTTAATGATATTCTTCACTAAACATTATTAAATTTAAACTGCCAAGACAGACCACTTGAACAACTCCCAAACAAAAAAATGCTGGTTTTCAAAACTATAAATGGTTTACTTATACAAACAAAATTGAATACAAAAAATCAAGCTATTTTCTCATCAAAGTATCTACAGAGCCTTCTAAAAAGCTTTTTCTTGAGTTCCCAGTTGTCCCCTTTGCTTAGTCATCCAAGTCACTATGATCTGAATTTAAACAAGCTTGCAGAACAGGAAAACAATATCCCACTCAGCTGTCATAATTCCACACTATTCCATAAAGCACTAGTGTCCATAGCAACTTATCTTCTAAGGAGACAATTTATCAATGTTCTAAACATATCTGTTTCCTTCTAAAATTCCAGAACACTTACTAAAATAAAAGCAGTTAATAAAGTTAATAAAGGAGCTGTTATTGTCCAGTTAAAAGGTATATTATTTTAATCGTAAAATTGACTCAATAAATTACTGCCTTAGCAGTAAGATTCTTACAACCTTTATATTCTGTCACCTCATTTTGACTTTAAATTGGAAGACACAAATTTCATTGCAAAGGATGCCAAAACTACGTTATAGAATACTGGAATGTAAAAGTCCGAGAAGAAATTGTTCCTTAATACTACAGTTTAAAAGTCTTCCATCTTTGCAGTCAAGACAAGAAAGCTATTGATTATATCCTGAACTACACTACTTTGACAGAATTTCACTACCAGAAAAACGACAAGAAAGCCAGTCTACGAGGTGAAAGCGGCATGACTGCTTTCTAAAAAATCAGCCCTTTCAATCCTTTTGAACTTGGTGTAAGGCTCTCAAAAATATACTTTAAGTTGATGACCATCTCAAGAAGATCTCAAGTGACAGTTTTTGTTAAAAAAAAAAACCCACAGACTTTTAAAAAGTAAAGCTAATTGTTAACATAGCTTTTGAGCAAAAAAATACAAAATCATGAGCAGTTATTTATCACATCTGCTATACAAGTATAAGACATCACAAGTCTAGAATTAAAGTGGGTTTCAAACTCATAGAAGAAAGATTTCACACAGGCACAGCAGCTTGTCTTCCTGAAACATAAACATGGTGGTTTTCACCAAAAACTTTTGCATCAGCAGTACCTAGAGCTTTGCAGATATAGAGGCTTCCCTGGTACAAAGTAGGGCAAACATATTTCACAGTAAAACTCTTGTCATTGCAGGCACAAAGATTCACAAGACGACAACTTCTCTGCTGCATACTGAAAAGCCCCAATGCCGTAGGAGGTGTGCAAGAGAGTCTTGCAGCCGAGAGTTGACTCAAAAACTCTGAAGACAAGC